GAGGGAGGTGATCCTGCCCCTCTACTCAGCCCTGGGGAGGCCTCACCTGGAGTCCTGTGCCCAGTGCTGGGCTCCCCAGTACAAGAGAGACATGGCACTCCTGGAGAGAGTCCAGCGGAGGGCTACCAAGATGATGAGAGGGCTGGAGCACCTCTCCTATGAAGAAAGACTGCAAGAGCTGGGCCTGTTCAGCCTGGAGGAGAGAAGGCTGAGGGGGGATCTCATAAATGTGTACAAGTATCTGAAGGGAGGGTGTCAAGAGGATGGGGCCAGACTCTTCTCCGTGGTGCCCAGCAACAGGACAAGAGGCAACGGGCAGAAACTTAACCACAGGCAGTCCCATCTGAACCTGAGGAAAAACTTCTTTCCTGTGAGGGTGACAGAGCATTGGAACAGGTTGCCCAGAGAGGTAGTGGAGTCTCCTTCCCTGGAGATATTCAGAACCTGTCTGGATGCGATCCTGTCCAATGTGCTCTAGAGGTCCCTGCTTGAGCAGGGAGGTTGGACTAGATGATCTCCAGAGGTCCCTTCCAACCTAAACCATTCTGTGATTCTGTTTTTATCTACTCCTGTCTCTGCAGCTGTTCACACATCATATCTTAAGTGTGTAATAGTGTCATGGCTGAAGTACAGCAGGATCTCTCTTGTTTCAAAAAGTTCTGAGAAATCCAACTCCATTGAAGAGCTTCCTTCTTCAGTGAACGCACTGTGTGTTGCTTTCCATTTTTGCTTGTTACTGGTTCCTTTAAGCTTGTCCACACTGAAAAATGCCACGTCCTTGAAGTGTGTTTTCTGTACATACTAAATGATGTTAAACATTCCAATGCTTAGAGATCTTTGTGCCAGAAATCATGTTGGCTTAAAGTGTCCTCATCTGTGGTGAGTTAAGTAAATCCGCACTCATTCATATGTATGTTCAAACAGTGTTTCTAGCAACTTCATTACTTATGTCATTTCTTAAGTTGGATCTATGCTTAAGAACTAATATGTTTCAATATGGTGTAATGCTACTTAGACATCTTAATACAACACTTGTGGCAAAAAACTGCTCTTGCTGCTGTTACTCTTGCAGACAAACACTTTTGCTATTGGAGCTGCTTTTGTTCCAGAAGCTGGTGAGAGCTCAACTGAGGTGTGGGAGGAGCCCTTACCCTTTGAGCCACATGTGCCTATAAGGTTAGCTAGTATTAGCTGTGTTTCTATTTGTCTGTAGTACAAGTAGTACTTTCTGTAGTATCCAGCCTTACAGCAGTGAATCCCAACTGTTTTTTTAGGTGACTCATTTCTGCATACAAACTCTATTTCTGCTGTTTAACTACAGTCTCTTCTGTTTGCTAGTGCCGTTTCATGTCTCTGGTTTGTAAGTTTTTTTTTCTGGGGCGGGGCTTCCCCTCCACTCTGATAGGCAAGCAGTGCTGTGTTTATAAGGTTGCTGGCAATCTGTGTGCATTGTGCTGCCAGATGCAAAGTATCACTGTATCAAAGCACACAACCTGAAGTTTCTTGGAACATAACCTTTAAGTCCAATTCATGCAATGACTTGTATGTAGTGTATGACTGCAAAATATAATTAGAAGGTGAACTAAGGCACCTGAAGAATAACTCTTGAATGATATTTTGGCTTTTTTAGTCTTTTTTTATTCTAGGTGTATACTTGTGATTATAAATACAAAATCCACCAACCCTGGTGAAAACACCTGGGTTTACCCTGGTGAAAACAAACACATGCAAAAAGCATGCAGTTTTCATTTCTTAACTACTTAAAACAGATGGATTTTTCTTTGGTTTTGCTAATTGCACAGGAAGAATACTCAAAAAATACTTAACGCAGTAAACAAATCAGAGGACAAACAAAAAGGGTCACCGTTCCCATGTGTGTTTAGCCCTCTGTTGGTGATATGTTTCAAGCTTGTTTTTCCTTCTTTTTTTTTTCTTTTTGGCAACATCTGTTCCACCTCCCATTCTCGCCCCACAAGAATGCATGTGTGTGTGTGTGTGTGTGTAGAGGATGTTAAAGGTATGTTAAACCATTTGTTCAAGCTAGTTTTGCAGCAACGTAAAAGAAATTTGGAAGGTAATGCCAACTTTTAAAAGAAAAAAATGGCAAAACCAACAAAAAGCAAATATGCCAGAGGTAGATTTTTGGAGAGTGTTTATTGAATGCTCATTAGGATTCTTACTTTAAAAATAAACTCTAAGAAAAAAGGTAATTGATATAGGAAATGTAAGTAATTTTACAGGACTTTAATTTAAAAAAAGTCTTGAGTGTTTTAATGCTTAGTTAATGCAGTTTTAAGGAAAAAGTATAAACTTTAAATTACTGAACGTTGACCTATTGCCGACAGCTTGTTATTAACAGTTGTTCTCTTCTGGCCATGCTGGTGATGGTGTTTGATGGTATGGACCAGATAATTTTGGAAGACATAATCTGCATAAAGAGAGTACCTAAGGAGAGCTTAGTGTTGGAGGCTATCAAACAGGGATCAGTAATGCGGTGAGAGAAGACCATACAGATATTTGTTGGGAGTTGGTCTTTTGTGAATCTGGTATTCTTTCCTGAATGTTTTTGACACTGGAAACACTAAATATCAAGCTTTCTACTATGTTGCTTCATTATGTTCTCAGGATTTTGCTTCTTAAGCTACAGATTTCTTTTTCCCTTTATGGCATCTGGATTTTGTTACTGGACACTGCCTCACCAGTGCAAAGAAGGAAGTAAAGGATTTGGAATAAGGCAAATCTTTTGCCATAGGAAAATCAAAACATATGCTAATTACTGTTTTAGCCTTGTCTACTGAGTACATGCACTGTTTTATAGACAGGCTAATTCATAGCTTTGCTGGAATATTTGAGGGTTTTTGTACTTTAAATTACAACTTAAAAGCTTAATTAAAAAAAATCTACAAACCGGTCCAGGCAGGTTGCAGTAAAAATATAGAAGAACCCAGAGTGACAGAAGCTTTTTCATTGTAGCCTAAAGCTGAACAACGCCTGGGGAGATCTATAAATTTAATATAAAAATAAATGGATATGTAGCTTGAGCAGTATTTTATATTGTTTTGCTTTATCTTATTTTATTGTTGCACGCTTGTATTCTTTTGTTGTTGATGCCACTCTTTTCTAGCACTTTTGAGCTGTGATGTTTACTACAGAAGGCATAATTAAATAAGTGACTTGAAAGCATTCATATGAATCTTAAAATAACCATAAAAATGTTTTATTTGTCTCTTCTTAAAAAAAATAGATAATATACTTGAGAGAATCCCCAGGTGATGTGTACAGGCTTTTATTGGCCGGAAACATTTCATATCTTCCCTTCAGGTAAATATAAAGGTATTGGAACTTTCTGTAGCTTGATTTTTTTTTTCTCTTTTTTGGACGAATAGTGTAGCATTTAACAGTCCTGAGTTTGGGGTTTTTTGCTAAAGTTTTAACACATGACACATTCACTGCCTGAGCTTTGAGTACAGACCACTGAACGGGGTGTTGGCAGCTAGTACTGAAGTGTACTGACAGACGTGCAGGAGCTGAAGTGGCTACACTCCTTTGTATATACTCTTGTTGAGCTTTTTAATCTACGTTGTTTCTCGTTTAGCAGTCTGTTTTTGTGCCAGTTAATAGTTAAACATATCAAAATATCTGCCAGTCATCACAAATGTCTTGTAATACTTCTAGCACTCAATTTTTTTCCCCACTTGCTGAATGCATGCAGCAATCTAAAACACTATTTTGTGCATAAAGAGTGCTAGCTAACCTCATATGATTTAGTGCAACTTGAAAGCATTTCTTTTTACCAACGAGGAAAAGTGTACAACCATTGCTTCGTGGTTGGTTGACCCTGAGGGAATGTAATCATAGCTGTTGCAGACCACAGACTTCTCATTATGGTATCTACTATGCTGCTTTATATAGTAAAGAAAGTTGATCCATACTGCAGAGGAACAACTTTTTGACAAGAGTTTCTAAAAGTTGGACCAAGCTAATGTTCCATTGGCTGCCACGATATGCAGAAAAGAATGGCCAAAAAGCTTTTCAGAAGGCAAGTTGACTGTCCAAATATGTTGTTATGGGATGATTAATCAGTCCTTGCTTGTTTGTTTTCCAGCTGCCTTGCCAAGAGCTGGGCTTTTGGTGTTTTGAATTTCCTTCCCTCCCCATGCCATTGTGTAGAAGCACCTCTATTTATTTGCATGCTTTCATCATCCCGTTTTTCTCTCTTAATTCCATTTTTTATATTCACAGAAGAACATAAATGCTCCTTAAGGAGACTTGTAAAGTTTGTTTCCAAAGATCGTATAGGAGTGTGTAGGAGGGGGAAATAGTAGCTTTTAGCTCTCTTTGTAAACCCTACCTGAAACCTCAGACCATCATCACTTCAAGAGCACTACTGAAAGAAATGCAAAGATGTGTTATATGATAGGAATTACTGAGAGTTGACTTCTGAAGACAGCATAGATATGTCCAGCCTCTAGGATAAAGAATACAGTATGAAATCCCTGCCCAAGTGTCTAGGAACTTTACCATTTTCTTGAATCTACTAGTGCACTTAAACCTGGTGCAAAGAGAGGAATTCTGATTAAAAGAATGATGAACTGAGATGCTGCTCTGGACCCTGTTCCTTTCAGGTTGTATTCATCTCTGCAAAAAGCAATACCTTCTCATAGAATAATAAAGGGTTAATCAGGTAGTTGCTACTTCTGGTCATTATAAACAAGAATTTTCTTGTTAGCAGAATGCAAAGAATTTCTTTTATCAGTTTCCTGAATGGGATTCTATTATTTCCTTCTCCTGCTGATTTTTTCCACTTCACTCTGATTCATTAGGAAGGACAAGGGTACAAAGAAAGCGTAGAAATAGCCATTCAGGTACTTCAGAAGTACATCCTTGTGTTTAGTTTAAATTTGAACATAATGGTGTGTGTGTGTGTATATATATATTTTTTATTATTTTACATCACATTAGTGACTGTGTTTGTGCATGAGAGCTGTATAGTCTTAGAACTAGGTGTTCTGCCAAAACATAATATTCTTTGATGTAGATTCACAGTTTTTTTTTTTAACTTGGCTATAGTATTCCTGTAGAAAGCTTATTCTGCAGTGCTTATGGAATCTACTAATGATGCTATTCTAGAATCAAGAGGATTTTAAAAATAGTAGTTGAAAGAAAGGGCTTTAATGAAAGTTTCTTATGTTTAAACGTAAACTATTTTATGCATCTCAAGGAAAGTCATTTAATGTAGCTACACAAATGTGCATCTTGACAGTTTTACTAAGATGCTGTTCACATATATATATATATAATGCATGTGCACAGCAACTTTTTTATTTTAAATGGAATCTGAGGGAAAATGTTGCAGTATATTACAGTTTGAAGGATGAAAACTGTTTTTTGAGAGTGTACTTCAAAAGAAAAAGTTCAAAAGAAAAAGTGCGTATGTCAGAACATAATCATTTTGGCATTAAGTTTTGCCATGAGTTTTTGTGATTTCCCCTTCCCCCCCCCAAATATGCCTGTCCTTTTTTAATGGTAAAAGTTGAACGTGTCAGTTTTACTGAAAAGTACAATTGGAGTAATCCTAGTCTCGGATCATCTGTTAGCATAATTATGTTTTGTTATTATAAGCTGCAAGATGGGGGAAATAATCATTTGATGTAATTATTTTGCTGTAATTATCTTGAAGTAATCTTTTAAAGTTGTTTTTTGAGAAATAACTTTAATTGTTTCGACTTGGATTCAAATGGGAACAGTTTTGGTCATGAAAACACATGTGTTACAGGGATGCTTCATTTGGTACTTGCAGTTTTCATCTAACATTGCTGGATTGTTTTCATGCAATAAACAAGGTCAGTAAAACAATATTTTTCTTATGGCAAAAGGTCAGCTAAATATGGTCCTGCAAAAAAAGGCAGCTTAGGAAGCTAGGAGCCAGTTAAAGCAGTTCAGTAGCAGATTTCTGATTGTTGCCTAGCTTATATATTATGCATTGTAACAAAACTAGATAAGGCATTTGTAGAAGTTGACTGATATATAATCAACTAGACAAGTTTTTAAATAAGGAATTTCAATTTTTGTTTAGGTACTCTTTTCAGGACAGTCATTTGCACCTCAAAACACTAAGTGTTGCCTGACAGATTTATCGAATGGCCCTCTGGAGTTGCATTTTTAGGCTGAATACTCCCTTTGAAAGAAGTTGTGCATCGCTTAGCGATGCCTTTTAGGCGTTTGCAGCATGTGCTAATGACTTCAAGTTTTGCTTTAGTAATACACATCATCTGGTGTCTTATTGCAACACAGTGGCAAAGTAATGTGACATTTAAGGACAGGGGAATTTTCTATGCATTCTTCATTCTTTTTAGTCTGTGCAAGCAGTAAAATGGGGAATTCTATAGCTCTCCACTCTACTACTGCCTGTTTTATTACAGATGTCTCTGCCAAATACTGGTGTTGCTACTGATTAAGCCAGTCTCCTGTAGATCTGTGATTTGCAGGTTTTTTGGATTGTTCTGACATTGGCTGCTCATCTGCCAAGAGTGGTGAATTGCTATTCTTGTCAGTACTGGTGAGCAGCAAGGAAAACCCCAGAAGATTATGCAGTGAAAGAGGAGATTAGAATGTGGTATTTAAAACATCTGGGGATAGGGGATTGTTTGTGTTTGTGCTTCCTGACTTTGACAAGTGAGTAAACAGCCAGTTACCCAAATATTTAATAAAGTATAAAAATGTAAACATAATGCCTGTAGATAATTACTGAGCATCAAGGACTGGGCTAAAGTGTGCTTAGGATTGTAGACAGACTCTGTCTGCAGCCGATTTAAAATAAATGAAGATATTAGAATTGTAATGACAGAATAGTGTTCATGCACCAAAAATATTTGTAATCCTTGAAAGTAGAGTTTAGAATATACTCCTAATTTAAATAGCTATTTTTTGCCAACTATTTTTCTATTTGGCACTCTGTACTGCTAGCAGTAGTAAAAAGAGTGAATACTTCTGTAGTCTAGAATTTTCTAGTGATTAAATGAAAACAGAAAAAGAGTGGGCTTTCTTGTTTACCCTCACTTATATTAAAATTCACAAATCTGTTTTGAACCAAGACTGAATTGATTCTTATTTTTGCAGATAAATAGAAAAATCTCTCTGAAACAGTAGAACAGGTATTGCGGGTTTTCAGTAACCTAAAAGAGTGATGAACTGTCATCACTGAGAGGATGTTATCTGTCTTTAAAAGCTGTACTCTGAATTTTAGGCTTTGCAGTATGGTTTCCTGGATTTCAATGCGTTTGATGTAAATGAATATGAGCATTATGAGGTAAGTGTCCAGTATCAATCTTCTGGTTTGTTTGCAGTTATTAATGTGAAGATTGCTGTTTTATCATTTGTACTGTTCCTTTTGTAGTGTAAGGTTCCATTTCTGTGTTCTGCTTTGTCTCCTTAAGCTTCAATTGTTAAAGAAAGATGTGTGGTCAGAGAGAGTAAAATTCAGATTTAAGCATAGTCAAGCTCAAAAGTGGGGGGGGAAAGGTGGATGTTACAGAAACTAAAAGGGAAATCAAAATTTTTGGCTTTTTTATTAAATCCCCAGAAGATGAGGGGGAGAGGGAATTTGTTCCTTGGCCATCTTTTAGAGGTTATGCATATTCCTAAGCAATCTTGATAAGAAACTCGAGGACATACAAGTCTCTGTCAAGTTGGCTTTTGGAAAGCAATTAAAGTATGTATCTATGAAAAGATGACAAAAATCTGATAATACTCTTTGAGGTAAAGAGAAAAACAGGGCTGGGAAACTCCAAGCCTATAAAATTCACTCTGGGGCATGGGAAACTTATGTGAAGGTAAAGGACTACAACACTTCACTATATATATTCTCACAAAGGCAAAGCAGTCATTTATCTATGAAGAGCAAATTAGGTGTTTTTTAGAATCTAAAAAATTATTTGGTGGGCAGAGGTAATGCCAAGGCCATAATTTATAAACCTACAAAAGGTTTAAAAAATTGAAGTTGCCCTTCATCTGAAGGGCATCAGTTGCATTGCTCTAAGACTGTAATTTAGAAAGAGGGAGAATACAGGCAAGAAGAGAGGTTGAGAGCATCTGGCATTCTCCTGATGAAACAAAAAGCAGGCTACTAACATGCTTCCTTTGGCAAAAATTGTACATCACTTCTATCTAGCATGTATTTTTTAACAATAAGGAAAAGCCTGAAAATACAGGGTTAATGATAAACCAAGCATTTTCTCTTGACAGAGAGCAGAAAATGGAGATTTTAACTGGATAATACCAAACAAATTCATTGCCTTCAGTGGACCTCATTCAAGAAGTAAAATTGAAAATGGTATGCTTAAAAAAGGAGGTGGGGGACACAAGCCCACTGCTTTTAGTTGATTGTTATCAGTAAGAACAAGCTTTAAAAATTGTTCCTCAAACAGCGTGTTTTTTCCTTTTTTCCTTGGCTCTTTTTCTTTTATAAAAATCCTGACAGTAAAATTTTAATGCTTGGTTTAATTGTATCTGAACTAGGTGATTATGTTGAATTTCCATTTTCGGTTAGTCAATTTCTTTATGTTGAACGTGAGTTTTATTGTGAAAGTGTTTCATCTGTTGATTTTGTGTCTGCACATATTTCTGCAGTTTGAAGTTTTTTTTTTTTCTTCTTTTTCCAATAGGCTATCCCCATCATGCTCCAGAGGCTTATTTCCCGTACTTCAAGAAACATAAGGTCACCACTGTAATACGCCTCAACAAAAAACTGTATGATGCCAAACGATTTACAGATGCTGGATTTGAGCATTATGACCTCTTCTTTGCTGATGGAAGCATACCTAGTGATACTATAGTTAAAACATTTCTAAATATTTGTGAAAGTGCTGAAGGTGTTATAGCCATTCATTGCAAAGGTATAGTGTACAAACATTTTATATTACAGGTGATGCTTATAGTTACAGTTCCTGAGATATTTTGCACTATAATTCCATTATTTCCAGTTATTAACAACTCTGCCAAACTGCAGCTTTTTCAAACAAATTCTTTACATGCTTTTGTTCTGCACTTCTTTTTTTACTTTTTTAAGTTCCAGCAAAATATTTTCAGCAATCTCCAAGAATGGGGTTGGGGAAAATGAGCTTGCCAACATTAATGGTTCTTTTTCTAGGAATGTGTTAGCATTTTGATGCTTTTGAGCAGGGACTTGAAGTACTGGCAAGGTTTATAGTAGGTCTTTCAGAAAATACAGTCAAATATACCAAACTATAAACTTTTGAAAATATCAGTGGAGCTTTTTGAGAAGAGTCTTCATAAAGTATTGGAGTGTTCCTCCAGAACAGCAGAAATCTTTAGCCCTCAGAAACCCTTTTTACTAGCTGCATTGGGCATGCCCTGAATATCTGTTCTGTATATGGTATTAAAATTATCTTTTATCTTTCATTCGTTCGCGGGCACCGGTAATGAGCAGCAGGAGTCAGATTTCTAAGTTGTTAAGTTTTATTGCTAGCAATAAAACTTGCCTCTTGGCTGAGAGCACAAGAAGGGACCCTGAGTAGCTTTTTGTTACACTTTTTAAGCGAAAGCAAGTTGTTACATATTCAATACTTTAGTTTACATAACCAATCAGATCTATCTACGATTCTTAGTTTTACCAATCCTCTTGCCACGTTACAGCATGAACTAGTTCCGTGCCAGCCTTGAATGGTCCATCTTATGGTTATTCATTAGCTGATTTGCACCTCTTCTGGCGTTACCTTTGAACACCTTCTGTACTACTGGTTGGATTCAACTGGTTTCTTTGCAGTTCTTCATCTATGTACGAAAAACAGGAGCTGAGGCAAGGTCAGATAAGATGTTCTGCTTGCAGGGTGTGTGACCTTGCATGTTTTGTCTGCAGAAAACTAGAGTGCAGTGGAAATTTTCTTAACAATGGAAAGTTCAGAGTTAGACTGCCAGATGGGGTTTCCATCATAGCAGAAATGGTGTTTCCCTCCTCTCGTTCCTTGAGCGGGATTGGAAGCCAAGATAAAACTTCCCATTTTTGGTTCTGTATACTTTATACAACCCTCATTACTGAGCAGCATTTTAAAAGTTATACTTCTAGTCAAGGCCAGAAATTTATGACTTCTGCCTATTTTATCTCAGAGTTTGCCCCCAAATCATTTCTGGTTGAGTCTACAATAGAATTGTTTGTGCTGTTGCAAGACTCAGGTATCCTCCATTTGGCTTCATTGCATTTCAGAATTAATATGCTAGATGTGTGCCTAGCATAATTTTAAACGCTCTTCTGCAAATAGCTTTGTAATCTGCTCTTCTAGAACAACTTTCTACAGGTGTTCTTTACTCCTTTCAGTTTAGCTGGCAGAGGAGCTTATATGTTTAAATGTCTTTCATTTAGGCCCTTATGTCCTATAGAGGAACCAAAATAGCTCTGCCATTGCTTTTTAAATGTTTCACGGGTTTTTTGTTTGTTTTTTGTTTTTTGTTTTTTTAAGTAAATCCATATAAACAAACCTATCTTTAAAAGAACACAACATTAAAATGTCAAGCATTCAACATGCAAAATACTAGAAATAGTTGCCTGTGAAATGCTAATACAGCTCCCCTTCCACACCATCTTTAACTCTGTCACACTCCATTTGTTCTCCATGAACTCTGCCTCAGTAGGGCAGAGTAGTTTCCTTCACTGTGGGTGAAGGAGAAAAGCCTTTTCTTAAAGCATTTGCTTGGGACATGCGAAGACTGGATTTTTGTTCCTGGATCTGCCACTCACCGGCTGCATGTTTAACAAGATTCCACTTGCATGAAGTGGAAGAATTGGTTAAAATTGCTACTTGACTGTTGGGAAGCAAGTGAATACTCTTTTCTTTCCACTGAGGTGTGAAATTTGGGCATATTGGTTAATTGATAGCTCTTGAATGTTGGGTAGCAGTGGTGCAAGTTCTTTGTTTTCATTCAGATTAAGATGTTCTCTGATCTTTAGCATGATTAAGGTGTCTAGACTACAATATGATCCTCTACCTGATCCTACCTCTTGAGAAAGCACAGAATGCTGCCACCTATTCTTTAAGTTGGGCAATGCATGGAAAGTACTGTGTGGTTTTTCTTGGCTATTGGACCATACTGAAAATTCAACACTGGTGTTGATCAGTCAATTCTTAAGTGAGATCTGGTGACATGTAGCTTGGCATTTACAGCAAATGATCAAGGAGAGGAACACTTGAGCTTGGAGCTATCTTCCTTTCTTTTTCATGTTTGCCAATTGAAATGGAACTGTTTCTAGGGCTCTTTCAAAGAAGGTTTCTCAGTTTGGAGTACTCTTTGCCTGTCTTGGCTAGTGCCCAGACTTCCTTATTGCAAAATTCAGCTCTTCCTTGAGAAGTGAAAACAGAGACTGGTTAGAGGAGGGATTGGAAGAGCAACTGTTTTTAGTACAATTTATGATTATTTTACATTTAAAGTGTTTTGAGAATATTGGGAAGAGGCAGCTGTTTGATACTATGCATAAAAAGATTCTCATAAAATAGACGTGTGTGTGTACGTGTATATATATTTATATATGCTGGCTTTGGAAGGTCACTTCACTCAAAAAAAAAAAAAAAAAAAAATGAGCACTAGGTTTTGAACCCTCTAACTTTGGGAAGTTGCGCTTACCCAGTTTCACTAGTAACAGATTCAATAAGCTAAGTAGTTAATTATTTGTCCAAGTAACAATGTCTGTAGCTACAGCAGGTTCCAGATAAAAATGGGTATATAAAAGAAGTCATTCTTTTACCTTACACAGCTGGTCTTGGGCGAACTGGCACACTTATAGCCTGTTATATTATAAAGCATTACCGGATGACAGCTGCTGAAACTATTGCCTGGATTAGAATAAATAGACCTGGTTCAGTGATTGGACCACAACAACACTTCCTGATGGAGTAAGTAGATTGGCTAGGATAAATAATTTTGAAAATAGAACTAGATGGTTTTTTTTCTTTTCTTGCACTCTTTATCATCCTTGGTTTTAATTTGTTACTTTGTTTGCTTTTTTTTTTTTTCCCCCCTCTCATGATAGGAAACAGGCAGAACTTTGGACAGAGGGAGATATTTTCCGTGCAAAGTTGAAGGAAAACCATAACATTGCTGTAACAAAAATCTTGTCAGGAGTAGATGATATTTCAATTAATGATGCGAAAAACAGCAGAGCCAACCGAAAGGACATTGAACTGGTAACTGTCTGAATATAATGCTGTTGTAAGAGTTGTTACTGTTGTTGAGGCTCTCTTAGGTTCTGAACAAACTTATGGGTAAAATAAGTTATCGGATTCTTCTTTTATGTTCCCATTTTGTACCAAGAGATTTGGGGGCAAAAAAGTATGGTCAGCAAATATGAAAGATGAAGTGTAGTGCACACATAAAGTAAGAGTATCCGTATCATGCTTTAGTCTTGTAATACAGTTAATATTAGAACATGAAAGAACTTAAGATCTGCAGTCAGAAATGCTTTGATTGAATTTTGGATTCTCTTTATTACGTTACCGTGTGCCCTTTTGGGGAAGGGATGAAGGGCTTCTTGCTCTTTTTAGTTTCTAAGTAATTACGGCTTCTGTAATACTTTTTCTGTGCTGGCTTTTAAAACACTGGTAGTGCTGTTTTCAAAAGGCAAATGGAGGAGGAGAGAAATGCTGTAGTTGAGTGAAGATTGTGCTGTACCTAAGAAAAGGTTTGGGATGTGTTTCCACCATTTTAAAGGTAGATAACATTCCAATGCATATAATTCATGACATCACTTAATAGTTTACAGCTTTAAAAGCAGCAGGTAACAAGAAATAAAATTATATTTATGCAGGTGAATTTGCTTTCATGTTATGCTGGCAAACTTTCTTCCTGTTGAAATAATTCTAATTTTAAGATTTAAAATAAGGTTAACTCTTAAATGTTTAAATATATTTTTTAATTCTTGGGTTTGTGGGGGGGGTGTTTGTTTTTTAACTTTATCCAGTACAGTGATGAAGACGAAACAAACTGTGTAACACAAGGTGATAAACTTCGTGCTCTGAAAAGTAGAAGGCAAGCGAAAGCTACAACCACATCTCCTCTAACGTAAGTCAGTTTCTGCATGTATAAATGACAGAAATATATTTACCCTTTTCTTGTGGACTTCTTTTAACCCCTAAAAGTTTGTTGGTGAGACATTTTTCACTCATTTTAAAATCAACATAAGATTTGCTGCTTCTCTGAAGGCTTGATGAGTGTTTAGGGGGTAGGAGAGTTTGGTTAAAGAACTGTATTACTCAACTTTTAGTTTTCTGTTTTGTTTTTTGATTCCACTGTTCTGTGCTGTACAAGTTCCCACAGTATTTCTGAATGGTGTAGATTTAGTTTAATTACAAACATTCCCTTGTCCTTCCTATGGTAGTATAAAAATGGAAGAATATCAGTCTATGTGGTAGTGTTTGATGGTCTGGAATAAGGTATGTACTTGTTTTTGAAGTAAGGTCAGCTACTTCAGAAGAAGAATTGAAAGAAAATTCTTTAGCTTTGATTTTCTTGGAGAAGAATCTTCCCTAAATCCTGTGGGCTTTAGGAGAATGGCTAGTAATCTGGAAGGTAGGGAGTAGCAGTATTTCACTAAATAAATTCAAAAGGAGTGCAGTTCTATCAGGGAGCCTGGTATGCTGGTCTCTTTATTTGTTGGGTAAGTAATGCAACACCATCTGTAAAAGAAAGTTCATAGTTGCCTTTACATCTGTTGTAGCTTGTGGCAACTGCAGGTAGAATAATTTCTGGAGCATCTCTCCTATGAAGAAAGGCTGAGGGAGCTGGGCCTGTTCAGCCTGGAGAAGGGAAGACTGAGAGGGGATCTCATCAATGTGTACAAGTATCTGAAGGGAGGGTGTCGAGAGGATGGGGCCAGGCTCTTCTCCGTGGTGCCCAGTGACAGGACAAGAGGCAACGGGCACAAACTGAACCACAGGAAGTTCCGTCTGAACATGAGGGAAAACTTCTTTCCTGTGAGGGTGACAGAGCCCTGGGACAGGTTGCCCAGAGAGGTAGTGGAGTCTCCTTCCCTGGAGATATTCAAAACCTGTCTGGATGCGATCCTGTGCAATGTGCTCTAGAGGTCCCTGCTTGAGCAGGGAGGTTGGACTAGATGATCTCCAGAGGTCCCTGCCAACCTCAATCATTCTGTGATTCTGTGAAATAACACAACTCCAGAGTCGCAGACCAAAGGCAACTTGGGTTTATTAAGCTGTCTTTCTATAGTGGATGATGCTCCAAAGCTCATAGCTAGCTGCTGGCCTTTTTTATTTTATTTTATTTTTAGACCAAACCTTTCTTTTACTGAGTATTACATTGCAGTAGCTATGCTTACAAAAGAAAAAAAAAACAAGAACAACAACAACAAAAGACAGGTTTTACAGTAGGCATACGGCATTGCCTGACTTTTAGAAAAGCAAGAGGTATGTAGTAAATATACACATTGCTGCATATCCCTGCACTTTCAGTGTGAGGGTTTCTAAAGACATATGAATTCTGTGTTTGTTTTAAAAAGTCTTTTTTGTTCATGCTCATCATTTACACAGGCAGTTGTATAATAAAGAACATATTCAGACCAAAGCCCATACTCAACTGAAATAAAATATACCACTTCAGTTTCTTCAAATAGTACAGTGAAAAGCAACCAACTTGCACATAGCCTTAGTTTCTACTTCATAATTTTTTTCATAAATGGTACTTTAAGTAAGTCACGTAATGCAGTTTGTGAAAGATCTCATTTACTGTATGTTCCATAGAAAAATAGACTATATGATAGTCTATTCATAGCCATTGTGTTAATATGCAGAAAGTCTATCAACTATTAAAATTCATGAAACATTCTGCGTCACTGCTTTAATTAAAGTAACTAGTTTGTATATCTGTAGAATTAAAATAAATAAACTAGAGCTTATAGTAGTTTTCCATAGTGTGCATTGTGGCTAGAAGAAAAATTCTGAAGTGCATTTTCACAGGGAGCTTGAATTTCCCTTCTCCTCTTCTCCCAAAATATTTGTATAGTTTGCAGCTTGTACTGAAATAATTTGGTAAAAATGTATAACTTTCTACACTGAGTTATTATTCCTAAAACAAAATACCAAGAGATATATTTAGCTGCCTTACTTGAGTTAGGAGTCTTCCCTACCTGAATAGCTATCAGTCTTTTTCCCTTTTAGTTCAGACTCTTTTAAAAAAAAAAAAAAAAATTACTGTTGCTGTGCAAATGATTAATTTTATCTAGGGAAACAGAAACAGATTTCTAAATCCTCTATGTAGATTTATTTCAGAGAAAAAAAACAAGCAAAATAAGAACACGAGAAGCTGGTGAGAGCTAGAGGCATTACCTCCATTTAAGTCACAAGGGATTTGTGCTAAAGATTTGTTAATTACTGAATTAGTTTTTGCTATTTTGAACACAGGAAGGTAATATAAACTCGCCATCTGGATGTTTTGCATAAATTGTTTTGGATGTTTTGCATAAATTGTTTGTTCCTAGGAAAAATGATCTGCCTCTGATTTAATGTTTTAGTATTAAAACACAAGATAATGAAGTAGAATCTATGAACGCAGGCTGATCAAACTGCATTCTTAAATAAAAGATGGCAACAAGTGGTCAGAGATACACTGCTCTAGAATGCATTTATTTTCAAAGGAGTGGCATAGACTTTCTTTGGAATAGAAGACTTCAGTGAGGATGTCAGAGAAGTTGCTTTATGTTGATTCTAGTAACACAGATAGAATATTTGGCAAGTTATATGGTTGTATGGACCTGTTACAGCCACAGGAAGCGTGGACATGCTTAGTTAAGATTATAGAGCAATATGCTTTTAAAGAACTTAAAACAAGATAAAATGCACCAATATCTTTTGCTTTTGAGTTTTTCATCTTTTCCTCCCCCTTCAACCCCTTTTTTAGATGGCTCCTAGCTATGCTGGTGTCTACACTGTGTAGCATTGTCATCTGGTGGATTGTATGTGGCTCCCTTCTTCCCAGCCTGCTATTCTGTCTAGATGGTTTAAGAACATAGTAACCATCAGGACCCCCTGAGAGAGAGCCACTGTGTAAGTGTCCCAATCCATTTCTCTACAATAGCTCATGCTTTCTGTCTAGTATGTCTCATACATGCATGCTCTCATATCATGTTTCTTACTGGCTTTGTTGCAAGAGTAAATTTCACGCTCTCGCTTTTTTGTCTTTTTGTATATATGATTTGGAATAACTGTTTTTTTTATGGCTGGCTTGCAATACAAAAGATGCAGAGCATTTATAATTAGGATACTTCATAATTTTGAAGCCTTTCTTTTCTGCATGCTCTTGCAAATAATCAAAGTTATGCTTGTAAAAAGGAAAGAATAGTTTTAAAATTGATCTTGTCCTTCACATATTGCAAATGAAGAAGTTAACTCCAGTCTTACTTCAAAATTCATTAACTTGCAAAGGTGCTTAGTTTCCCAAAGGATGGTTTTACCCATGTGATAAACCAGGAATTAGAACTTGTCAGAAATGTCAGTAGGTCTTTGTTTTTTGCTAAGAGATTATATTACTATGCCATAAGAGGCAGTAAAATAGGACAGATGTGTTTTGTGGGGTTTTTTTTCCTCTAACATAATGGAAGACAATGCAGGTTGCTGTACTCGGTCAAGGCACACGTAACACTTCTTCACCTAGGCAATCTGGCTTCATCTTCTTTTGTTCTTAAACGTTTTTCATAGGGCCTTATGAGACTAGTTTAATCCCTTCTTTCTGTTACTTAGATTCAGGAGCTGATTAAAACATTACAAACGTATTAGTTCCTTGAGTACCATTTTCACTTTTTCCTCCCCCTCGCTTTTGTGAGTGGCTGCACAGATTGCTGTGCCTAGCCTCCACTTAAGAGGTGTTATGTTTTCATCAAATGGCAGCTTTCATCTGTTGGCCAAATAAAACTTCAGCAGTACACAAAACTGCCTGGCAAGCCAAACTCTCCTTTCTCCTTTCTCTTTGCTGCCCCTACCTCTGTGATGTATGTTTGTTTGTTTGTTTGTTTTTGTTTTTCCTTCTTCTAGATCGCTAACAAGCGAAATGGTTACTATGGGAGCATGCTTGAAATGTCAGTGCTTTCAGAGGGAAAAAGAAATTGGTCAGAAAGTGTTTTACATCAGAGTGATAAGTAAGAAAAGGCCTTCTCTCCTGTTAGAACTTTAAGGTTAAGAATTCCTATCCTTCTCTTTGGCCTTGCAACTTTTTATTATCCATACCTCTAAATAGCAAAGAACTATTCCTCTAAAGTAAATGATGCAATAACCAAAAATGAGAATTGGGGAACTTGTGGGCAATTTAGTTATCCTGTTAACAGCTGAGATAATCTTTTTTTTTTTTTTGAGGAAAAAAAACTTAAAGATTGGTTGGGTTCTTTTTCTCATAGGTACCTAACTTTGTCAAAGAACATATCTAGACAAGGGGCTTGTTTCCTAAGTTTCACACTGAATTTAGCAGTAGCTTTTGTCTCAATGTTTTATAGAATTCAAACGTCAGATTTCTAAACACAGACCAAAGAACAAAATTTAAAACACTGTTCAAAAAATGAAACAATCTGCCCTCATAAAACAGATAACCTTGGTAAGAATAAAACTCCCATCAGGAGGTGAGAGAAAATATGGTCCTGTGTAACCTCTCTTCCCCTCATCCCTCCCAATGATACTGTAATCAATTAAATTTTGAAAAAACTTTTTATATGGATTTATTTCCCTCCAAAGTATATTATCTTGTTGGCATTCCAGGTTTTCGGGGTTTTTGTCTTGGGTTGTGGGGATAGGATTTTTGTGTCATGTCCCTCCCCAAGTTAATTGATGAAACAAAGTTGTGAAACTATTCAAAAGATGGTTCCTCTGACCTGAACACCGTTCCAGTTAAACAAGTTTTGATTTCTTTGAAGACCAATATATTAGATTCAATAAGAAAGCAGTGTATGAATCAGTATGGTGTCCAGGGAATTTGTTAGGTTCAGAACTAAGTGATGCTTCCATTACAGATTAACTGGAAATGAAAAATTCTTGGGATACATGGATTACCTATTTTAGTAGTAT